ATGTCTCCCTAACCAGCAGTCCTCGGCTTGGCCTTGGCCTGCTTCTTCGCCTTCGCGTCAGCCTTTTGCTTCTTCTTCTTTTCCTCGAGCTTCTCCTCGGCCTTGCGCTTGAGACTAGCCTTCTCCTCAGCAGTCTTCTCAATCGGCTTGAAGAAACCCTCCAGCCTGCTCTGCTGCGCCGTCTTCATGTTCTTCTGTAGCTTGGCTGCTCCGTTGCGTACCCTGTCTTCGTTGAAGTGCTTCTCCTCGACCAGGAACTTGACGAGGCCTTCTACGTCTGGGGCTTCCCACTTGAAGTCGCATTCTGGGTCGTCGGCGGGGCGCACGTCGGGCTCGAGGAAGAGGAGGCGCGCATCGGCGAACGGCCAGTCGTCGGGGATGGTAAGCTTCTTGGAGGATTGTGACTTGATGTGTTCGACGACGCCTTCGAGGTCGGTATGCTCGCGGATGAGCTTGAGGGCGGTGCTTGGGCCGATGCCTTTGATGGGGTCGAGGTAGTCGCAGCCGAGGAGGATACAGAGGTCGATGAACTGTGAGTGGTTAGTATATAATACGTTTGAGGTAGTGATCTACTCTTACCTGCTTCCGCTCCATGTTCAGGCCTTCGAGCACCTTGTCCAGATGGATTTCCAGAATGGGCTCTTTGCGCTGCTCGCTGAAGGTCAAGTGTCGCAGCAGGATGGGTGAATCGAAAGTAAGCGTGTCCATGTCCTCTGAAGCAGCGGCGTATACCTTGCCTCCTCTCGCCAACGTAGCACACTGAGCTTCAGCCTCGGTCGGTGCGACAATGTACGGGATGCCCATGAGCTTGAGCAAGCGCTGGCACTCCTCGTTGTGCTCCCTCGTGACCCTGACTGTCCGCCGCGAGAACTTCTCAACGTCCTCTGCTGTGCCCGTCTCCTTCGCCTCCTCAGCCGCTGCGTGTGCCTCTGTCTTGCGCTGGAAACGCTTCGCGAGCTCGCCAGACTTGAGCTTGGGTGGAGCGCCATCGAAGACGTACAGGGGCTTGATGCCGTTGTCGACCATGCGCATTGTGCGGTAGAAGAGACCCATGAGATGTGATGTGGTTTCGCCCGTCTCGCTCATGAGCTGCTGGCCATCGGAGCGGACTGCGATGAGGAAACTGTAGATGCTCATAGATCTACACAGTATTAGATAGGAGAGCCATAGAGGGGTTAGAATATGCGTACGCATCCTGAGTGTGTTAGCAATTGAGCGCAGAGGGAAGACGACAGCAGACGTACTATGGCAACTTTGCGTCCAAACTGGTTCTTGATCTCGCCCTTCTTGACGGCCTCTGGCGCATGCTCCTCAATGAGCTGGTACAGGTGTTTGATACCCATGGCGACTGGTTTCCTCTGGCAGTTGTATTAATCGAACAGGTTTGAGGTGCTGTTGGCCCAGAGTGTTGTGTGCAGAAGCGTAGGCGACTGCGTGGTGGCTGGAGAAAGTGACGCCAACGATCGTCACGACGCGTTCGCGTCTCACCGCGCGCAATCACGGTCTACATTTCTTGGCATTGCTACCCCACATTTGCCTGTCATCGCTTAGTGAGGCTCTGCATGCATTCCAGGCGATGCATCTCGGATCTGCTATCTGCAACTCGTGATCCCGCCAAATCCTTCAATTTCCGCGTGTCTGGAGTGATGATGCTAGCTTTCTTGCCACCGCGGAGTGCTTCCGAACCGCCTGCCGCGGTTCTTTCAACGGTGGGACTTCCGAGGCCAACTTCATCCAATTACGCAGATTCTCGTGAGAAACCGGGTATAACTATCACTTTTGTGTAGCTGAGACACTTTCCACATTCCTGATAACGACTCCAAAATGCTGCGACCATCCTACAGACATGCCACCAGGCAATTGCGTACCCCACTCCGGTCTGCGGCCCTCGGCAAGCGGTACCTACATGCTCCCGTCAAGTTTGACTGGCAAGATCCATTGAACACAAGCAACTTGTTCACGGAGGAAGAGCAAGCCATCTCGGAGACAGCAGAGTCATATTGCCAAGAGCGCATGCTCCCGAGAGTGCTAGGTACATATACCGTTGTGGGGAGTCTGAGCTAGCTGACGTGTTACAGATGCATACCGCAATGAGGACTTTGATAGGAAGATCATCACGGAAATGGGCGAATTAGGGCTACTGGGGGCAAGCATTCAGGGCTATGAGTGTGCCGGAGTCAGCAGTGTCGCCGCAGGTCTGATCACCAGAGCTGTGGAGAGAGTCGATTCTGGATATCGTTCCGGCTACTCAGTCCAAAGCTCACTGGCCATGGGAGGTATCGAGGAGTTTGGATCTGAAGAACTGAAGGAGCGCCTCCTACCCAAGATGGCCAAGGGCCAACTGCTGGGCTGCTTTGGTCTGACTGAGCCGAACCACGGATCCGATCCAGGCTCTCTGGAGACGACTGCTAAGCCGCATCCGACCAAGAAGGGCTACTATTCACTGTCTGGATCAAAGACGTGGATCACGAACTCGCCCATTGCCGATGTTCTCCTTGTCTGGGCGAAGCTGCAGGAGACTGGCAAGATCCGTGGCTTTGTCATTGAGCGCGACCAATGTCCACCGGGTACTCTCGAAACCCCGCCAATCAAGCACAAGAACGGTCTGCGGGCATCCATTACCGGCATGATCCAGCTTGATGAGTGTCCCGTGTCCGAAGCAAACATGTTTCCAGAGGTTGAGGGTTTGAAGGGACCCTTCAGCTGTCTCAACTCGGCCAGGTATGGCATTGCTTGGGGGACTATCGGTGCTCTCGAGGACTGCATTGCAAGGACCCGAGAGTACGCCCTCGAGAGGAAACAATTCAAGAACAACCCGATTGCCAAGTACCAGCTTGTGCAGAAGAAGCTAGCTGACGCGACGACGGATGCTGCATACGGTATTCTGGCCGCCCACCAAGTCGGAAGGCTCAAGGACGAGGGCAAAGCTGCACCTGAGATGATCTCTATGATCAAGAGACAGAACTGTGACCGGGCTTTGATCAACGCGCGAACGTAAGTAGCACCAAGCGCTCGTTCGACATGTACTGACTGTGAGCAGACTGCAAGAAGTGTTTGGCGGAAACGCAGTATCCGACGAGTACGGGATCGGAAGACATGTCGCCAACTTGTTTGTGACGCAGACATATGAGGGCCAAAGCGACATCCACTGTGAGTACAATCGAAACGTGTCTCGACTCTGACTAACCTGCATCAGCGTTGATCCTCGGTCGTGCAATCACAGGTCTACAAGCATTCTGCTAATGGTGAAATGTACTCGGGTTGTTGCTGTACTACCAACAAGAATACGTAGAAGCGCACCCAATCACAGGCAACATGTCAGCTGTAGGCGCCTAGCGGTGGTACGCATGCAGGCAATGTTTATTTAGAAGTAAATGCATATCAAACCCGGCGACTCTTGCCTCGAACGCGGCAAGTATCACATCTGATTGCTCGTATCCACAGTGCCGTTCGCCACCCGAGTAAAGGCCTCGCTACCGCCCCAATGCGTGGTGACTAAGTGAGGTCAGAAGCAGCGTGAATGTCCATGTCAGCCTTGAGGCATCTTCTCCAGGCTTCGATAGGTTGCCACCCAGCGCGGTTGTTGGGTTAGAAACGCTCGGTGGAAATGTGGGCAGCGACAGTTGGGCGGTCAGCTTGTCTCGCCTCGTGCGGTTGGCTCCTCACACATGATAAATACAAACGCCCCTGCTCCAGCCCCATCGTGCAAAACATCGTGCTCGCACAGCGTGACCGTCTTTGTCCTCACATAGAGTCAGAGGTGAGTGAGTTAAAGAGTGGCGGATGAGGTTCCCGCGCTGACACGCCGCACTTGCTTTCTTTGGATCCCCGCCGCTAACTAACCGCCTTGCCTGCGCAGACATCCCACTTCAACTCTTCAACACCAACTCGCTCGACCCCGACACCCGCGATACCCGTCACCACCACTCCACACACCACACACACACACCGCAGCCATGGCTCTCAAGCGCATCAACAAGGAGTTGACCGATCTCGGCCGGTACGTGACCCATCTCCCGGCCCTCGTGGCTGGCGGCGAGGCTCGCTGTTTTGCTTGCATGGCCACGACCGCATGCGGGGCCCTCAAGCAAGGCCGCAACGCCGTGGCCCTGCGAGAACATGACGAGAAGAACATTTAGCTGACATGATACCCCTAGTGACCCTCCCTCTTCCTGTTCAGCTGGCCCCATCGGAGATGATCTGGTACGTCACTCTCCGTCAAGACAGCCACGCGGCTGGGCGAACGAAAAACCACACTGGACACGGTACTAACAACACGCAGTTCCACTGGCAAGCAACCATCATGGGTCCCGGCGACTCACCATATTCCGGCGGTGTCTTCTTCCTAGCAATCCACTTCCCAACCGACTACCCCTTCAAGCCCCCGAAGGTCAACTTCACCACCCGCATCTACCACCCCAACATCAACTCCAACGGCAGCATCTGCTTGGACATTCTGCGAGACCAATGGAGCCCTGCTCTGACCATCTCAAAGGGTGCGTTACCCGAGTCCCCTACGTCGAGTAGAATACATACTAACAAAAATTCACAGTGCTGCTGAGTATCTGCTCGATGCTGACAGACCCAAACCCCGACGACCCGCTCGTCCCCGAGATCGCACACGTCTACAAGACCGACCGGTCCCGCTACGAATCGACGGCGCGCGAGTGGACCCGAAAGTACGCCATCTAGGCTCTCGAAGCGCAACCAAGGAGCGTCAAGACTGGGTGCGGCGGAGAGCGTGTCTTTTGTCGTTAGCATCTGCGAAAGGGAGGCTAGGATGATGGTTGTTAGGGGCAGACTTTCATGGTAGTGACTGATGGGGGGTTTTACACTTGTACTACGGCATGCATGCTGGACTGGGGTTCATAGCATCTGGCTATTATCACTCTTACCACAACAGGCTCGATTTCTTCTCTGATGTTCGACTTGAGTTGCGTGCTTGTTTGCGATTACTGTGAAGATTGCATGTGACGATATTTTACAACATTGGTAAGCGACTAGGCCTTCTTCGCCTCGTCGCCTTGTCCGTCTACACTATCTTTACTTGTCTGCGGATCCTCTACTGCTGGCATGTCCATACCCAGGATCGAAGACATGGTATCACCATGGTCTAGTATCGACGTATTCTGCGCTTCTTCCTTCAACAGCCGAGTCCTCTCCTCGGCCAGCCTCTTCCACTCCCTATCCCGCTCTTCCTTGGCCAATCGCAGCCTGGCCTCTTCCTCTTCCATCATCTTCAGCGTATTCTCCTCCATATCCTCCTCCACAGAGTCCTTCAGCACCTCTTCGTCTACTGCGTCTACTACACCTTGCCATCCACCCTCTCTAACCTCCTTTGCCAATTGAGCAAGGTCCTTTTGTTCCCTCTCCACCCACTCGCGACCGTAGTTTTGTAGTTTCCTGCGACGCTCGAGTTGCAGCATGTAGGATGTGCCTACGAGAGGGCAGAGTATGGAGGCTCGCTTGTTGAATTTCACGTCGAGGAGGAGGTTCTTGTGGAGATCGCGGAAGGTGGCTTGGACGTGCTTGATGGCTATGCCTTTGCGGCCGAGGTCGTTGGTTTCGTCGGCGGGGTCGCGGAGGGAGAGCATGTACGAGGGGAGGGGTTTGGTTTCTCCGCTCTGTGAGGTGGTTAGCATGGTGCAAGATGTAAAAGGGAAGAATGAGTGGGTGCATACCTGTAGCCGAGCCCTCTGCGTATCCGTGAGGACAGGGTGCTTCGTCTTGTCGAAGAGGTAAGCAGGTTCGATAGACACACCGTGCTTCGTCATGTCGAAGTTGCCCCAGAAGTCGAGGAAGTGGAGAAGGGCACTCGCAGAGTCTTGTGGTGGCTTTGGTGCATGCTTTATGCTGGCGACGACCATCATGAAGAGCGAGTAGGAGCCAAAACCGCCTCGGAATACGTCTGACAAGCCGCGTGTATCGAACATGGTCTTGACTACCCAGTACAGCTCTCGCAGGTAGGGTATCTTTTCCATGTACTCCTGCATGGTGACCCTCGAGATGGATGTATCGTTTGAGAGCACGACCTGCACATCCAAGCCTGATTTGCGGTCCTGCGCGGCGACGAGAGGATAGCGCGCGTGACGAATCGCGGCCAGTAGGTATGCTCCGTTCTTATTGAATACCGTCCAATATAACTTACTCAGAAGACGTGTTCCCTTCTTACGCTCTTTTGTATCTGGCGGGAATTTTGGCACCTGCGCGGGGTCTGACGGTTGCGACTTTAATACCAGCCTGAAGTCTATGTCGGACAGAGGCATGGCTATGCCAGTCCGCTCAGAGCCAAACACCTCGATGTTGTATTTTGGAAGGAATTGTTTAACCTGTCTCTGCACCTGTTCGATGAGGTGCTTCCGCGCGGCCGTTTCGTATCGATCGGGTTGTGTGTATTTGTAGAATCTCTCGATTTCTGAATGCAGACTGCATCTCGACTTAGCACGACATTACGAGTGAGGGTCACTTGGGGATATACCGATCCATGCCTGTCATTGTTGGCTCTCCCTCCATGTTCACACACCATGGAAGCGCGCTTTCTCTGACCTTCCCGACCACGATGGGCCGCACGACTACGCCCTCGTAGTCTTGCGATTTTGCGAACGCGTCCCTGGCAATAACCAGCTGATCCTGGTCCTCGACGTTCGAGGGAGTAGGCATTGTCCGCTTCAGGTGTTTGTTTTTAGCGATCGAAACCTCGACCTTGCTGGACAGCCAGCGCCCTTTGACCGTGGTCATTCTCCTCACGGGCAATTGCTTTGCCTCTGCATTCGGCGGTTCTGCCGCATTGTCGGTGACTACTTCGCTAGCCTGGGTATCGCGAGCGTGAGTATTGTCACCCTTGCTACTTGAACTCGCGCCATCTTGTGCAGCTTCCGTCGCAGTAGAAAGTTGGCGCCGGTCGCGGGGTCCTGGCGAGCCAGGTTGGACAAAGTGCTGCCATAGCGCAAGGGACGGATTGAAGCGGTTATGGGCGCGACATATCAGCCGGGTGCGCGAGAATTGCATTAGGCCCGGGGAGATAACGACGACTCGCAATGCGGCAAGGTGGTGGTTGTGCTCACTCTACACGAATCTTCTGCATGCATCTTCGCGTGCACTATGCCAAGCATCTAGTCCGCTTTGGGCCGTCGAGTCGACGGCGGAGGATGCCAGGCACTCCCGCGGGCATGCTGCATTACCAGTCGCTCTCGTATGCACCCGGCCGTTGGACACGTTTATTGCTAGCCCTGCGTCTGCCATGTCCCATGATATACGGAGGACATTTGTGAAAGCGGCCAGACTGCCCCCAATACCCCACAGGCACTGCAGAGGCCCCAAAGCGTCTCCGTCGTCGGTCCACTTGCAGCACTTGCGCCGGCCCACACCCTCGTCCGATATGAAAGCTGCCTGACATCATATTGACACGCCCAACAAAACTTCGCAGAGCGGTCAGCGAGCGGAGCGCGTGCAGGCGGTAATGGTGCGCTGCTGTCCTGGATGCCTTGCTTGTAGCAGAGACAGTGAGGCCCGAGCTGGTCGGTTCCAACGTCACAGCTATGTTAGTGGGGCGTTGAACCATCCCACCACGGCCAGCTTTTCTTCCCTCATTACACTCGTCGACCTTCTGTGAGCTTCTCGACACACGTGGTGTCTTCTCTCTGACATCCTTCTCACACCACCCTTCGTTTGAGACCTCTAAATTCCCCTCGTTCCGTGACAGCCCCAGCCCAGACCCATTGCGGAGCTCTTTCCTGTGAGACTCGTCCAAGACAGCGACGCAAGCACCAGGTAATTCACATTTCATAATTAATTATTTTTAGTCGCGCCTCACCACTGCATGCACGTAAACATTGCACTGCCTGTCCATCCCTCGGCATATTTCTCACCTGTTATCCTCCACCTCTCATCTTCTCGCCTACAAGTACCTGACAGTTCCATGCAGAGCACCGCCTACGCTTACATCCACCATGGCCCCTCCCACAGATGAGAAGCCCCAGAGGCCGCCGCTCGACTCCCAAGACAGCACACATCCTGCGCTAAACCCCGCAATTACCAACGTGCCAGTCACACCCGGCGTACATCTCTCCGGCAAAACTGCCTACTTCGACGAGTCCACTGCCGAGAAGACGAACAACCTCCCCTTCAATCCCGAGACTGCCACACCAGGCCCCCAATGGAGCGCCAACTCATACTTCTCTGGCCAGCAAAAGGAGGGCCAGGCTAGCACTCAGACTGAACAGGCAGCCGGCGCACAAACTGATGGAGACGTCAAGAGCAAAACGAGCGAAGTACCCGACCCGGATGCCAAGCACGATCTTGCAGACGTAGATCCTCGCGCCGCACACCCTGGTTTGAACCTCAGCGGTCGCGTTATCAGCGCGACCTTTGCCATACCCTATTCAATTGGTTACTCACAGGGCAACGACTGGGAACTGAACCCGCGACGCGGAACCTCGGCCCTTTTCGACTCCTTCTCTTACCTGGCTTCTAGCTCTTCTCCGTGGAACCACGTGCTCGTGGGCTGGACTGGCGAGATCGCGCACGCAAAGACAGCATCCGTCACAGCTACGCAAGCGCCCATGAACAAGGCTGCCGCGCCCATTCCCGTCGATCCAAAGAAACCGACACAAGTACCTCAAGCTCCAAACAGCTTCAGGATAGGCCCAGACGATCGAGCACGATTGGATAAACAGCTCGAACGCGATCACGGAGGCAGGATTGTGCCAGTGTGGCTTGTCGACGAGGTAGATGATGGCAAAGATGAATACATCCTGAAGAACCAGAGCCATTGGAGGACATATGCCGAGCACGAGCTCTACACCCTGTTCCACTACAAGCAGAATGAGCCAGCTGATGGGCGCGCTGCCCGGAAATCGTGGGCCGATTACTACCGCATGAACAAGCTTTTCGCAGACAGGATCCTCGAGGTCTACAAGCCAGGCGACATCGTCATGGTACACGATTTCTACCTGATGCTCTTGCCAAGTCTCCTTCGCCAACGTCTACCCAACATCTACATTGGCTTCTACCTGCACATCCCTTTCCCAAGTAGCGAGTTCTACCGCTGCCTGAGCAGACGGAAAGAGATCCTGGAGGGCGTGTTGGGTGCCAACATGATCGGGTTCCAGTCATACAGCTACTCGCGGCACTTTTCGTCTTGCTGTACTAGGATACTGGGTTTTGATTCGTCTTCCACTGGAGTCGATGCATACGGCGCGCATGTAGCAGTCGACGTGTTCCCCATCGGAATTAACGCAGTCTCCACACAGCGACAGGCTTTTGGCGACCCGGAGATTGAACATAAACTCAAAGACATCCGCGAGATGTATGCTGGCAAGAAGCTCATTGTTGGTCGTGACAGGCTAGATGCGGTTCGCGGAGTGGTTCAGAAGCTTCAGGCGTTCCAGCTCTTCCTTCAGAAGTATCCTGAGTGGGTAGGCAAAGTAGTCCTCATCCAGGTCACAAGTCCTAGCGGAGTCCATACCGATAGAAGTGATGGCGCACAGGAAAAGGTGGTCAACAAGATCTCGGACCTTGCGGCCAAAATCAACGGCACCTACGGAACCCTCGATTTCACCCCGGTCCGTCATTTCCCACAGTACCTTTCCCGGGAGGAATACTTTGCTCTGCTTCGACTTGCAGACATCGGCCTCATCACTAGCGTGCGAGATGGTATGAACACGACAAGTATGGAATACATCATTTGCCAAAAGGATAACCATGGACCGCTCATTCTTTCGGAGTTCTCTGGTACAGCGAGTTCCTTACACAGCGCAAGCCACATCAATCCCTGGGACATGGGCGGAGTTGCCGATGCGATCAACGACGCTCTGAACCAGAGTGCCGAAGTTCGTGCCGAGACTCACGCCCAACTCTACAATCATGTTGTGCAAAACAATGTCCAGGCTTGGTCGAACAACTACCTGAAGCGATTAATGACGAATTTGTCAGCTTTCGATCAAGCGTTCGCTACGCCAGCACTTGACCGGGCCAAACTACTCTTCCAATACCGTGAGGCCAAGAAGCGACTCTTCATGTTCGACTACGACGGCACTCTGACACCCATTGTCAAGGACCCGCAGGCAGCCATTCCATCCGATCGTGTTATTCGAACTCTCAAGACTCTAGCAGCTGACCCTGCGAATGCTGTCTGGATCATCAGCGGCAGAGACCAGGCTTTCCTGGACGAATGGATGGGCCACATTCCCGAGCTGGGTCTGAGTGCTGAGCATGGCAGCTTCATGAGGCATCCACGCAGTCAGGAATGGCATAATCTCACCGAGACGACCGACATGAGCTGGCAGCAGGAGGTCATTGACGTATTCCAGCACTACACTGAGAGGACTCAAGGTGAGCCATTTTACTGTCATCAAACTACCTATTACTAACAGATGATCAGGCTCATTCATCGAACGCAAGAAGATTGCCCTGACATGGCACTACCGGAGAGCGGATCCCGAATACGGTGCATTCCAGGCGCGGGAGTGCCAGAAGCATCTCGAGAGGACTGTCGCAAAGAAGCACGACGTCGAGGTCATGACGGGTAAAGCCAATCTTGAAGTCCGCCCGAGGTTCGTGAACAAGGGCGAGATCGCGAAGACGCTTGTAGAGAACTACGGCGAAGGTAGCGGCAATGCGCCTGAGTTTGTTCTTTGCATGGGCGACGACTTCACGGATGAAGGTATGTGTTGCACTTGTGGCTGCGCTTTCCACCCGCTAACATCATCAGACATGTTCCGATCGCTGCGCCAGTCCAAACTGCCCACTGATCACGTCTTCTCGGTCACGGTTGGTGCCAGCTCGAAGCAGACGCTGGCCAGCTGGCATCTGCTCGAGCCTTCGGATGTCATCTCTGTCATTTCGTTGTTGAACGGATCCGCAGACGCAGGCAATGTTGGCGCGATTGCTGTGGTCGATGGCACGGTCCCGGAGTCTCGAGTAATCGCATGAGGTCATGGTCGGACAATTTCAACTGTAATGGAGCACGGAGCATGGTGAGGCTATAGATCTACGGTATGCGGCATGGCGATCCCGGGATTTTTTGGGCATCAAGTTTTGGAGAAGCAATCAGATCCTATGTCATGGTGGTTCTCATTGTCCTACGAAAAGAAACGTATCTGTTGCTGTGATCGGCCATGCCGATTGCTACCCGGCGGATGAATTGTGCTGCACGAGGATTAGCAATGCGCCCCTGGGACGAGCGTCGGTTGCCAAGGCGGTGGCGCCGGCACGTTCTGGGGTCTCGCCCAAGACCCCTGATTACCACGTGAGACCCTGACTCGAGAACCGGGAACCTTTGGATGCGAACTCTGGGAAATCCAGGGTTTTGGAGCCTTCGGAGAGGATTCCGCGACGGCTATGCTTACAGATTGCCCAGCTGTCAAGCAAGTAAGCCGCTACACCCCGCAATAAAGAATATCGATGCAAGCAAGCCGCGCAATGGCGAAAGCGGTCCACGACTCACGAATCCGCGACACGGACACGATGGCTTTTCTAGGCCTGGTATGTTTTGGCTTTCGGCTCTACTAACCCCAAATCATGCAACTTGGGATTCGAGAACTGCCCGCGCATGAAACCTGGAACGCCTAGCAACTGTCCCGCCCCAACAACCTATCCGAGCGAAGGCCCTCCTTCCTCTTGGAACTCGCGTACCGTAGTCGTTGATCCCGTCTTTTACCAGCCATCCGTTCCTTTTTCATCACACTGTTCCCCTCCCGCGCCGCATCTCTACACTCGTTTACCCGCTATCTACCCTCGCATAATCTGAGCACCAATCTTACAGACGTGAAGCGCATTATTATAACATAATTCGAGTACCTGGTCCGACCTCAATCCGATACGGCATCTGCAACAGCGCAGCAGGGAACTAGCCGGCGAACAC